TTTTTTTTTTTTTTTTTTTTTTTTTTTTTTTTTTTTTTTCTCTCTCGATACACAGCAGGGAAATTGGAAAGATCATGGGAACGAGCGGCTGGGCTGATGCCGCGGGAAACAAATATTCGTGGAATCGAATCGATCACAGAGCCGGCGACCGGCGAAAGAACCATCCATCTAGCAATTTCACGATAAGGCACCAAATTGATTCCCACGAGGTATTCGATGAGATGACGAATAACGGTGAGACAGAGGACGAGAATCACAGGTGAATGATTGCGCACGTCCGGATACCCGATGAAAATTGAACAACCTTATCTGGGATATGCGCGCGCGCGCGTGTATGTGTATGCGCGTGTCTATTATATTTATATATATATGTATATATACCTTGATGACGTGTAATGTTAGTGTGTGAACTCTATCTTGATCATGCAGCTTTTTTTCAAGTAGAATAATTTTTTATAATTTTTAATCGTTTATATAAAGATGTTATTATATAGATTTACTAAAAAAATTGTAATTCTTTTGGGTGATTTTGTGAAGAATACATTTTTTTTCTGTTGTCGAAGTTCGTTCTAAGAATTTGAAATTTTTATTATTTATAAAAAAATATTGTTCAATATTTCGATGTTTTTTGATATCTTGCCAAAATGTTATAAATAATATTGTGAAGGTTTTACTTGGTAGTCGTTGTTTAGTAAAAAGTTATTAACAGAAATGCTTCTTCGAAAGTTGTTTTTTAAATTAGGTTAGGTTGCGTCGGATTAAGAAAACTAATTCAATCGATTGGTTAATAATTAATAAATAAATTTTTATTCGATTAATAAATTAATTGATGTCAAGTAAAAATTTATTGTATCTAGCTTGATATTTTATTTTGTTTATATTTTGTTTGATCTTATTTAATAATAATTATTTATTACATTTTTTTAATCCAATTGTGAAATTGATATCAATTATTTGCAATAATTGATTAAAACTAAAATTTAATAACCTAATTGTTTCGAAGAAATATTTTTTGTCAATAATTTTTTAATAAATAATAATCACCAAATTAAAATTTTCAATATTATTCAGAATGATAATCTTGATAACACATTAAAAAAATTATCAAGTTCGAAAAATGAAAATTTTGTAAATCTATACCATTGTTATTACATACAATTTTTTTTAATATCATTAATGAAAGGATTTTGAAAATTAGACATATTTTATTCTTTAATTTATTGTATTTTGTTTTCTAATCTTGATTCTGTTTCTAAAAAATTAAAATGATCAACACTATGTTTCATCCTTTATTTAATCATTTAATAATTTCCATCTGTATACATATAATATAATATTATATTAATAAGACCACTGTTCCCTTATCCTATTTCGCATCTAAATTAAATTTCTAAAACGCAATATGTATATCAAATATTCTTATATGTATATCAAATTTTTCAATCAAATGACTATAATGAGCTATTTTACAGGACGAGAATATTAAAAAAAAAAAAAATACCTAGTTACTAACATCATTAACGAACGTATCGAAATGTTTCAGTGAAAACGCGCATCAATAACTAGCCGATTCACCCTCTCTGGATTTAGTAGAGACTGATATAATCGATGGATACCGCTTTCGATACGTTCCATCATGCCTTCATCAATATTGCGCGAATACACTTCGTTACTCTGTACAATACATCGCGATGTCGTCCATTTTAGTCAACCTACCGCCACCATTCCCTTTTACATCGCGTCCTACTCTGTTTGCTTTTCATATAATTATTACGCTCATACTACGAATGTTTGCCAATAACCGAATATCGAGTATAGCTCCTTTCTCGATTTATAACAATTATGCCAATCGTGAACTCTTGTCAAGTTGGAAATGAAGAGGTTAGCTTTTTCATTTTTATTTCTTTGAATGAGTCGACGAATTGATTGGAAGTGATAAGATAGTGAAATCTTTAAATGATGAGGTTAAACGAAGATTCGGAATTTAAATGCGTAATTTGTGTTTTATACGAATGATAATTTTGAAAACGAGAACGAACTGGATAGAACTCGAAACGGACGTCTGATTCGAGATATAAAATGCCGTATCAAAATATTTTTAGTTCATTTCTATTTGGAACAGTCTGATAGAGATAAGTGCGAGACGATTCTCTTGTTCCGTTGATAACACGTTTTTACAACATCGTTTCCGTAATAAGAGTCCATACCCGATATATTTGACGTATCATTGTATCGCGACGAAACATATAGACATTCTGTTTTCTGTTCAATTGTATTCGTTTCTTTTTTCAATTTCTCATTGAACGATGTTTCACGAGATGAAATGTCTCCATTTGACAAAAATTAATTCAAATAGTTTCTTTTTCAGGCCTTAGAATAATTGATATTTTTTTAATGTAATTAATAATCTAACCTCTATCTCCGATATATAAAATTGCTCGAAACTCTATAAATATATAACTATTGAATTTTTAACTCAATATTGCATTAAAAATAATGAAATTTAAAAATAAAAAAATAAAACTAGAAATAACAAGTGAAGATAAAATTATTTTCAATAAAGATCACTCTTGCATTTCACGTTGAAGATGCTTTCTAATCCGTATTGAAAGCACTACAAATGCAACACTCGTAGAGAAGAAAATTTTGTTCATGATTTAACATACTCGAGACTAACGACGCCATATAGGCGCCTTGTGATATCTAGTCAAAACACCTAGAGGCGCCACATGCGTGTCTTAAAAATAAATTGATTTCAGTCAATAAAAAAAAATTATTATATACAGTCTACAGAAAAAAAATTATACAAGAAAAATAATAAAAAATATTTAAAAATTAAAAAATAGATTTAAAGTAAAAAGCAAATAATATATAAATAAAAATTATTAAGAAATTTAAATATAATTTTTATTAATAACCTTTTATAATCAAAATTTGGTTTCGTATTAAAATTTTTTTGTTAGTCAACCACTGAGATATTAACAAATTATATTCTAAGAAGTTCGAAATTTCAATCGTTTTATTATCGTTCGATGAATTCTGTTATTTTGAAAACCGTGTGAATTTGATATAAAAAAAAAAAACCCAGACGATTTTTTACGAAGTGGCGTCTTCTGAAAACGATAGAGATATAAATGAATAAACAAAAACGATAGTGGGTGATTTTACGTAATACTTCTCAACGGAATATCTCGTAACCCAATAATTAGTGAAATATGATTAGTAATATGTGTCACGGTTTTTTTTTTTTTCGATATTTTTTATATTCATGTTCATTGGAATTTTTATTTTTATATGTTTGTTCTTTTTTGTAGTTATACATCGAAACATTTTGAATAAAAAAATATATTTATATTAAATTTTAAAAAATATATCAAATAGAAACATTTAAAATTACTATTTTTATTTATTTTATTGATATAAGTTATTTTCTAATTTTTTCAATATAAATTCCTTTATTTATGTAATAGATAACATATTTTGTTCTAAATCTATAATTGAATCATATGTAAATATTGTCAACGAATAATCGCGAAAAAATAGATATCTCGAACTTTATAGGAGATACGTTGAAGCGAATTCTGATTATCAAGTACAAGTGTATTATCTTATCCACATACAGCTTACAAAAAGTATATTATCACCAAGCGAGAACTTTCCCATATTATAAAAAGATGCAAGACGATACACAATCTGCCAAGATGAAATTACAGAATATTCACCACGACATCACGTTCTTTTTTGATAAGATTAAGAATATACGAATTGCTGACGAATCAGACGCTAATTTTGTACACCATCTTACGTCCAATATTTGAACTATTCACACCATAAAATACGAATAACTTCCAAATCCTATTTACAATTATTCAAGATAGATGTCGTCACTATATACATATTTTTATCGCCTCGTTATGTAATTCTTTTATAGTGAAAAAGTGTTTGTTTAACAATATATATCAAAATTATTAAAATTTTATTAAGAAAAATTATATTGTGTAATTTATTAATTATATTGTGTAAAAATATATATATAATATATTTTTGTTATAGTCTGTTTTTTTTTCTTGCCATAATGCAAATTTATTGCTTATCATTTGTACGATTTTTCTTTTAATCTCAAATTTAAAATAGTTTATTCGAAATTCATTTTGTAATTATCATATAAATCATTCTAGAACATATTTCTATAAAAATTAATAGACAACATATCGTTGACGATGTTTTCTGTATTGACTATAGTAAAGATATCTCGTGTGTTCTTAACCTATAACGTCTCGAATCTCGAGAGTTAACAAGAACGGTGAGGTATAAGTAAGAACATATATTGTTCAATTCGTTTGAGAATCAATTTCGATGTATCATTCACTTGATATTGAATATTAATTTGCGGTATAATTTTAAGTGGCAAAACATGTTTATTACGTGAAGATTGTGTTAAACTGAAGATCAAACAATAATTGATAATTTATATTCCCACGTGTCACAAAGATAAATGATATCGTAAGCAGCTTTGATCTATGACAATTTGTTTTCTTAAACTTATGAAAAAATATTATAATTCTGTGTAAAAACTATTTTTTTCTAACTACATACATTCTTGATTTCTGAACGTATGTTTGAAATTTAAAAAGAATAAAAACGAAATGATTATTTTTTGATTATTTTTATTTAAAATTTTCGCAAAAATCATTGATACTGCAGAATCTTCTATCAGCCAATAATGTAATGTAAAAAAAAGATTAAGCTAAATCGCGAAATATTTTCGTAATACATTTACAAAAGATAGACGTAAATTACCATAATATAAATAGAATGTTTTATAAAGTTATGTAATGGAACAGCGGTCTCTTTTACAATAGTGCAAAATATTGAATCTCACAAACGGTTCTTCGACAACAGAAACGTAGACATTATAGCGAATCACGATGTTTCATGGTTGCTGCATTATGTCAGCTCGATAGTGAAGCATGAACAAAGACAACGTGTACAAAGGACTTATATGGGGGAATATGTGTATGCGACAAGATGATCGCCCAGACAAATCACAAAAAGCATCGAAAATCGATAATCGAAAGCCCAAAATTTCATTTTTTCTTTGTCTCTTTATTTATTTATTTTTTTTATTTTTATTCTATTTTTATCGAATGCAATTTTTTCCAAGATCGTCATTGCGAAGATTTCTTTTAGATTCGATTATACGATAAATATAAAAGTAAAATTTAATATTATTATTTTAAAATAATTTTCTATTTAACTTATTCATAAATATTTTTATATGACTTAATAATATAAATATAATCGACATATGTTGATTCAATTTCTGATGAAAATTAATTTTATTAACTCGATAATTTTATAAATTTGTAACACATAAAAACAAAAATTGAATTAATCGTCCGATATTTTTAAATTAAATATATATTCTTCAATTTTCGTTTATTGATTAATTTTAACACCTGCTTTATTTTATCGCTGAAAATTCAACCGTCCGTTAAATATTATTTGCTTTTCTTTTTCTCACGATTTCTTAACGCTCAATACTTATTCAAAAATCTTGTGAATTATTCATCAAGAGTATTTATTATTTAAATGAATTTCCTTATGGAATTACGAAGATTTTTGATGACTGACGTGAAACAAGTCAGCAAAATTCAATAAATACATCGAACCTTGAAAAAATCTCGCATTAATTCGATCGATCTTAGAAGGAAACGTAGCGGGCGGAAGCTATACCTCGTTCGAGGTAATCGACCAGTCGGAAGTATGGCCCACCTCTGTACTCGTGAGGAGGAATAAAGGGCATTAAGTTGAGATTGCAGAAGTCGGAGTGATCGCAGCAGGCGATCACGGATACCATGTCACCTGGACCGTGTAGCGTGCTATTCGTTGTGCACCAGTACGAGTAATCGGGCGCCGGGAAGAAACGCACCTTATCGTAACACCTGAGAACAATTTACATGACTTCCGGACCAGAATATGCATTTATCCGTACCGCCGGGCTCAAAAAGAGGAAACCGTTTTTTTCCATGGTCTGTCTAATAAAAAAATTGTAAATTCAGAAATTATTTTTTTTTTTTGTAACGGTATTTCGTTGTACGATTATTCGGATATATCACTTTGTTTCTATTGTGAGAATAATTAAGATTAAATTAAAAATCGATTATTTTTATTAGATTTTGCAAAAATTACATTATTTACTTTTTTCTATACATATAATCGCTGTTTAGTCTTGATTTTGAAATATATTATATATATTCGTCAGAAAATAAATAAAATATGCACTCTGGCTTTTTTTCCATTTTTCGTGCTATTATATGCGTTATAATTATTGAGAATAGTGATAAAGATCGACAATAGGTATATATTGAGTGCATAGAATGATATAGAATGATTTAATAGAACTAGCATAACCTTCCAATTAAATTATATTGTTTCTTTTGATTAAAGATCTACGTCAATGCTGTAAAGTCATCATTCTATTTCACTTTGTCTCGATATGTTCATTGTCGATCTTTGTTATTGTCCTCAGCCAATGATAATGCACGTGATGGCAGGACTGGTGGAATAGAGTAGCCATCTTCTGGCGAATATACTGTACTAAAAAAAATATTTTCTATCCTATCGTATCGTATTTGTAAGTGTTCAAATGAATTTTAGAATAGATTTGTGATAGATTCGAAATACTTTTATATTTATATGTAGTTTTTTCTATTCGTCAGAAAAAAAGTAATGTCTTAAGATGAAAATTTAAAAACATAACCTGATTTTTTTTTAATCATACTTTATACGTATATTGTAAATAAGTTACAAAGAGAGAAAAATATAAATCTGCTTTATACTTTTTTCATTTCTTTCTTCGTTTTTCTTTTTCGGTATTCTTTCTCTTCGAGTTCGTTGGCTCAGTGATAAATTACTTCTATTACAAAAGTTATAAATTCGTAAGGGAATATAACAAGCAATCGAGATAAGTTCGAGAATTAATCATTAATAATTTGCGATCAAATAATAATTCACGTGGTTCCTTTTTTTTTTTGTTTGCAAGTTTTTTGATTATTATAAGAGACAGTATTATAATATCGTTAACCTCGAAACTCTACAAACACGTTATCCCGCTAATTTCGTTTTATAATTTCGAAGAGAAAGTTTTACGAAATTAATTTTTTTTTCTTAATAGGATAATCTATTTTGAAATGTTTAAACAAATAAGCAAGATATAGGAATTTTTTCAAAAGATTAAGATTAGATTAGATTAAATTATTAATTCAGAATTTTTTGACTTGATTATAGGTTATGTAATTTTAAGTATGATGAAAAAAATTTTCAAATGCTTCGAGATATCTCATTGATTTTATTCATCACTATCATTGTTTATATGATTTTAAATTATGAATGATCGTAAATCTATTTTAAATAAACAATTGATTTACAAATTATTTTTATTTACACAGAATTAGACAAATTAGAAATAAACATTCGATTCCATTAAAAATTTATAATTTGATTCTAAATTTGTCATTCGCAAAATTTTTTAACTTGATTTTTTTTTTTTCACGAACAACCGTGCAACAAAATACCGTGTTCAACGAAAAATATTTACACGTTCTTTAAAAAAATAAAAAACGTTTAGATCGTTCGGTATGATAGACGTTAAGTTAAACAACAGTTTAAATAAATAACAGTTTCTTCTTCTTCTTCTTTTTTTTTTTTTTTTTTTTAGGTTTTGAGAAGAATTACACACAAGTTATGCAAATATATACAAAAATTTCTTAAGCTGCGAAAGAAAAGTTAAGATCAATCCTCCGTTAAAATCTTGTAAATAATGGAGAATTAATTGATAATTATTTTACCAAAGTTTATTATTTTTAGGATGCTTTCGCGTGATATTCTGCATACAGACAATTCACGACAGCGAGGGAATGGGGAATTTATTAAAAGATTGAATTAAAAGAACGTGCAGAAAATGAAAATAATAATAGCTACATACTACGGTAAAGAAAAACGAAGCGTGGGTGCAAGATTTTATTTCACGTGTCGGATTTGTACGAATAATTGAAAAAAAAAAAAAAATTAATTAAAAACAGGGTCAACTTTACCTCTGAATACTCATATTCAATATAACACAGATTAAAAAAAAAATCACTTTTCTAATATTTTTAATAGCTATATAAAATCTTTCACTAATTTTATTATGAAAAATACGCAGTTTATAAAATTATATTTCTCTTTATTATTGATTATAATTTATCAACTATAAAAAAAATTTAATGTTTCAAAAAAAAAAAATTTGAGTATCAAAGGAGTATTAAAGAGACCACTGTTCAACGCTCGTAATAGAATAATGTAATTATCGTGCAATTAAGCGTTACTCGTTTAAGCGAGTCAACACAATGTCGAAGCTTCAATTGCCTTTTCAAGTTATCGAACGATATTTAAATACACTAAGAATACACAGAATTATTATTATCAATAATATATTTAACACAGTAAAAAAAATTTATTAACTAAGAAAAATACTCTTAATACTTAGATTTTATATCGTCTCACACCGACCCTTCGAAATTTAAAATGATTACAAAGGAACAGATTAATTATATAATCTAATAATAGATTTTACATAGAGGAGGATAAAATCAAAAGGAAAATTGAGAAAGGCATACGGGACGAATCTAAAAACTTGTATACTTCATTTTCTAAGAGAAACTGAAGAGAAATATTTACAAAAGATGTCCTTATCGCAAGGACCTGCGTTTATCAGTATCACTACAGTGTCTACTTTCGTTAGAGAGTGCAGAGAGATATATGTATACATGACAACAACATGCTACCGGTGCTTTCCAAGTTCATTCGGGAGGACTTCCGGCCCCCCCCGAACACTTGTAAGCGAAAATATACAGGAGGAGAGTACCTTGAAGTAACTAGAATCTCCATAGGTGGCAAATATTTTCATACTGTCTTTTATATCTTTGAAAAAAATTTGTTCCATCATTTGTTATTATTTATTTGAAAAAAAAAAGAATTTTCAATTATACATTTTCAAATATACATTTTATTTTTATTAATTAAAATGTTATTTTTAATTGATAATTATTGATAAAATGATAATAAATGAAATAAAAAAAATATTATTATATTTTTTAACTAGCTATGCTGCAATTAAAAAAAAAATGGATGGAAGGGAAATGAAGAGAGGAAATAGAAGGAAATGTATCTAAATAAAATGAAAATCATTTGAAAATCTTTTATGTTAACCTCTTAAGCTGATAATTATATTGATAAAAATATATCATATGATGTTATTAATTTAAATATGAAACGACAGTGTTTCGTTATTTTACAAGGAAATTCACTCAATTCGAAAATTCTGATTTTAATAAAAATTTGTATGTAAAATGTAATAAATTCCATATCAAGCAATTTATTTATTGACGAAAAATTTTTTTAAAATAAAATCAACTCTTAAAGTTTTAACATCTTTTCATTCTTTGAATATAATTTTGCTTAATTAGGTTACGAAGTTATATTTAAAAAAACAAAAAAATACTTTAAAATTTTGAACGTCGATCTCACCTTCTTAGAGCGATATATTCATTAAAAAAAAATTCTTCATATATATGATACATTATATCTTATGTATTAATAAAATTTTATATAAAATAAAAAATTATTCATTAAAAAATTAAAAAGTATTCAAATACTTTCATAAATAACTAATTATGAATATTTTCCTTACTAAGCAAGTATACACGTGTACTTTAAATCGGCTGGAGAAGCTAACATACGTATCAAATAAGTACACGTTCATCGTTATCAAATAAAAATCCACGAGAAACAGCGAACAGCTTAAGAACAGGTTAAGTGTTGCGCTTCCGGTCGTTTAAACGGAAGTGAACGCATTGCGCAAATGTGGATGCGCGAGGAACGAGAAGGAAAAGTGGCCGTGGTGTAGCATCGCGCTGCGAAAGGGAGGTACGAGGTGACACGGTCCGGTATACTATATCGTGCTTTATCGGCCGTAACACAGAGCGAACTGGAATGAGAAAGAGAAACGCGAATTCGAGTGTAAGTAGTGCGTTATACGCAACCGTGGCGCTCTCTACTCATAGAATGTACACGCCACGTACGTAATATATGTAACATCCTGATATTCGAGCTAAATGTAATTACGAGTAATTTACAAGTAACGAAAATATTCAGTGAAAAAATTAAATTCGAATGTTACGATAATTTACGTTCTATATCGAGATAAAATATATAGCAAGAATATATTGAAATAATATTGGATTTAATATTTTATATATTTGAGGAAGAAATAAGCTTCTAACGAAGTATTTTAAATTATATATCGGTATCAATATCATTTATTTAATAAATATATAAATATTGTATTAACTAAAAAGTGTTTATAAATTGTCAAATATGATAAATTCCCTAACTTGATTATTCATACATATATGTGAATTTATAACAGTTATAAAGTTCGCTATAAGAATTTGTTGCATCCAGAAATTATTAAAAGATAAAGAAGTAAGTTTAAATAAATATCAAATATTTTCGTCACTCATAGTACATGGATATCTAAAGATATATAATTGAACTGAACGCGATGGAAAAAGAGTAACGGCCATTATCAGCAAATTAGTGGTAATGTGTGCATGAGAGAGAGAGACATGAATGTATACATAGCATATATTGGCAAGCGTATATATCGATATAAAAACTATGCATACAGAGTATTTCATTTTCAGATGTAGTCTGAAAAAAAGGATCGAATAATTTATTATCATATAGCAGTTATCAAAATAAAGATAGAAGATATCTTATTGATATAACTACCTTTACAAATTAACCTTAAAATATTGAAAACAAAATACGCAAAAGAAGAATATTTTTCATAAAAAAAAAAAAAAATCATCCATTCATTTTATAAACTTATATTTATAAAATATAAGTTTACAATCAAATATTTTTTTTTTTTTAAATAACTACGTCTTTCTAAATTACCCGATTATTTTTCAGATTACTCTGTACACACGTAAATACACGTACAACGAAATAATATATGGCGGTTATATCGTTAACGTTCATTCTTGCTATTATTGCATATAATACTATAATATCCACAATGATGAAGAGAGTGAAAGAGATTGACTAGGCACGAGCTATGATGCGATCTAAATGTGCTCTGAGCGTTTTCTGTGCGTATAATTGCGTGTGGAGGGATTGAATAGGAAATGGATGGATAATAATTACATAAAGAAGTAGAAGCATGGAAAAACGAGTGGATGAATCAACAGCATGAAAATTCAATTGGGTACTTTAATTAACAAGATGCTCTCCGACATTATTATACAACATACATATATATATATAATATAATACATATTTATACATACATATATATATAATATATTAAAAATCAGTATCATCTGCAGGTACAACTAAGGAAAATTAGCGGGCAGAAAGAGAAGTGGTGAATGTAGCTGCGATAAAGGAAGATAGAAGAGATTTGAGAGAAAGACGTAAGAAAATATACATACATATATACATATACATATACATATATATATATATATATAGAGCTGCAGCAAAAGCCTGAGCCACCTGCAGAGTTTTTCCGCTACTTCCAGGTAACCAGTTTCACTGTACCTTTGTTGCGAGGGTGGAGCTGGGGTTTCAGATCCCGATTGCAAAAATCCTCTTTGCAGCACTCGATGACAAAGGTCGTGTTTCGCGAGTCGCTCGTCATGCAGAAGATGAGCGGCTCGGGCTGCGACGACGACAGCTGTTTATTCACGCACCTTCAAGCCGAGTTTGCACCATTTTCAGAATACAAAAAAACAAAAGGAGGAGAGAGAGAAAGAGAAAGAAAGAGAAAGAGAGAAAGAGAGAGAGAAAAGAGACAAACCAACGTGTAACCTCGTCGGAGGGGGGATGGATAGTTCGTGCTTTTTGGATCGCGTTTTCGGGACACTCGAGGTTACTCCGTGAGAGAATATCAATGGCGGCGTTGGAATACACGCGTATATTGGGTGGCTCAAAATTGCACGAGGTTGGAGAGATTCTGTGACTTGAAATTCGAACGAAAATTAGAATAAAAAAAAATAATTTTAATTATTTTTAATTATATTTAATTACAATTCGTTTTAGATCGTATCAATTTTTGAAAATTTTTTTTTAATGCAAATGTAAATGTAGAATATATTTCCTTTTAAAAATTAACTTTCGAAAGAATCGAATTTGAAAATTAATCGATTTCTGTATACGTTCAATTATTTAAAATTTTATTGAATATCTTTTATTTATTTTTATGTGTGGAATAATTATTTATTAATAGTTTATTTATTCATCTAATTAAGAATTTTACTTGTATTTGAAAAATGATCAAACTTGATTATACTGGAATATGAAAAAATTTTATTCTACATTTTCGTTTTATTTTGAATAAGAATCTTTCCGACTTTATTTGTTTACTATTTGAATTATGAATCCTGTTAATTTTAAAAATTCGTGATTGTAGTATTTAATTTAATTTAACGATAGAACGATGAAATATACAACACTTAATTATGTTTTTCATTCGATTTTCTGATAATAAAATAACGAATGTTTGACTTTTTCTATTTTTATTCCAGCTAACGTGCCTCGTGGCCTTCTTCTCTTAAATTAAACACAGACTGAAAAATTAAAGGGTAACACAATGGAGAAACAAGGATTCAAGAAATATTCGTAATAATTCTTTTACTCGATTTGATAAACGAAGATTTAAAGATTGCATAACAATGAAGTCATGAAACATTCAACAACGGTGAAATCATTATCTATAAATATCTATCCCCGTTTGGGAACATAACGAAAGAAGCAACATCCATTCAAGAGGAGAGAAAACGCGTCGAAAAAATTATTTATAAACATCGACAATTAAAAATATTACGTTACGCAATTCGTTTAAATGTACAAAAAATATGCAAAAAAACAATTAAAAAATTTATTACCTTGTTTCTTTTTAATTTAACACTAGAACTATTACCATATGATGTCATAATGAAAATAAATATAATATACATAATTACATTTCCATCTCATAAAT